GATAATCAGAATTTGGAAAATACTCGTTTAAGGAATGCACGGAGACGATTTCTAATTTCAGTGGAAGGTAACGGAGGGAGGATTCTATCTTTGTTCATGATTAAGAAAGGGGAGTAGCAAAATACTTTGGATTCAAATAAAAAATATGGTGTACAACTGATTATACATTATCCTGTTTATTTGATTTAAAGATACATGATGAGCTTTATTGGAAGAAGTTTGACATTGACAGCAAAGTTTGGTTGTATACTCCATGACGAATTATAGGCATTTCACCGAAGTTTCAGATGTGGTGGACAGGGCCATACAAAGTTCTAAAGAAATTCAGCGATGTCACATATCAGATAGTAAAGGGCAAAGAGTATCTGGTTGTTCACGTTGACAGGTTAAAGCCTTATGTTAGTCGAGAGATAAGTCTTGAGAGTCAGGGAACTATAACTGAAAGTTACGTGAAAGAAGATGTCACTGATACACCATACGTTTCAGACGTTATTATTGACCCTATTACTGCTCCGTACGTTGAGTACAACACAGAGACTGTCAACGATAATGAATTCGAAGCTGCGGTTACGGAAGATCAAAAGTTAGACCGCGAAACGACCATCCGATCTCAAAGGCGTTGCCGACAGCCGAGGTACTTTGAAGATTTTCAGCTGTATCATGTGACTGAATTGGACAAAACATCAAAGACAGAACAGTTCGCTTCTTCTCATTTGCATTCTTGCAATCGAATGGCGAGGACGAAGAATACAGTAAGAAAAGTAACCGCTATGCATAAATGTCCACTTTGTATCGAGGTGTTTCAGAGTCCTGAAGAAATTTTAGAGCATATTGGCCAAAAACACGACAAAAGAATTGAGTTTGACAACTGTGAGTATACCTCAGAGAGAACTACCGATATGAAGAGACATTACGAACGCCGACATTCCGCACACGCGAAGCAGGAGAACCGAAGCAAAGTCCTGAGGAAGACACTGGTACTGGGGAAGTACAACCCGGCGCCGCACTCAGCCGATGCCTGTCTTTAATCCTAAGAGAGACAAACCAGCTCCTCACAGCCATGGACAGACATCTATCAGTTGTCAAGCGGGGACAGGATTCCTATATAAGGATACCGCAGAACAATGCCAATAAGAGACCTCGAATGTGTGTGATGCGTTTACCCAGTGCAATGGAGTTTCGTTCGAAAAAGACGGATTTCAGAGACCGAATGGACCGAATTCAGTTGAAATTATTATGAACGTTCAGTGACGATGTGAATATTTCATTAACTTTTTTTAGCTCACCTGAGCTGAAAGCTCAAGTAAGCTTTTCTGATCACCCGTTGTCCGTCGTCCGTCCGTCTGTCCGTCCGTCCGTCTGTAAACTTTTCACATTTTCAACTTCTTCTCAAAAACCACTGGGCCAATTTTAACCAAATTTGGTACGAAGCATCCTTGAGTAAAGGGGAGTTTAAATTCTTAAAATAAAGGGCCAAACCCCCTTACAAGGGGAGATAATCAAGAAAAGACAAAAATAGGGTGGGGTCATTAAAAAATCTTCTTCTCAAGAACCACTTGGCCAGAAAAGCTGAAACTTATGTGGATGCATTCTGGGGTAGTGTAAATTCTAAATTGTTAAAATCATGACCCCCGAGGGAAGGGCGTGGCCATAATAGGGAATCCACGTTTTACATTGAAATATATGATAAAAAAAATCTTTTAAAATCTTCTTCTCAAGAACCACTGGGCCAGAAAAACTGAAACTTAAGTTGAAGCATCCTGGGGTAGTGTAGATTCTAAATTGTTAAAATCATGACCCACGGGGGAAGGGCGGGTCCACAATAGGGAATCCACGTTTTACATTGAAATATATAGAAAAAATCTTTAAAAATCTTCTTCTCAAGAACCACTTGGCCAGAAAAGCTGAAACTTATGTGGAAGCATCCTTGGGTAGTGTAGATTCTAAACTATTTAAATCTTGACCCCTGGGGGTAGGGCGGGGCCACAATAGGGAATCCAATTTTTATATTGAAATATATAGAAAAAAATCATCTTCTCAAGAACCACTTGGTAAGAAAAGCTAAGACTTTTGTAGAAGCATCCTGTGGCAGCGTAAGTTCTAAACTATTCAAATCTTGACCCCTGGGGGTAGGGCGGTGCCACAATAGGGAATCCAAGTTTTACATTGAAAAATATAGGAAAAATCTTTAAAAATTTTCTCCCCAAAAACCTCTTGGCCAATAATGCTGAAACTTATCTGGAAACATCCTTGGGTAGTGTAGATTTTAAATTGTTAAAATCATGACCCCCGTGGGTAGGGCGTGGCCACAATAGGTATTACAAAAAGATCCTCTGGTGAAGAACAGCAGGGCCAAAGTTATTCAGGCGAGAGTTGTGGTCCATGGGCCTCTTGTTTTTTGTTTTTTTTTTTTATAAAAGTGCCAAAATTTTCATTTATTTTCGCTATTCGGGACGTATCTCTAGGAGGGGTAGGTTGTGTTATTCAGGGCTCTAATTGGCGACTAATTTAGTCGCCATGGCGCCTAAAATTTTTGATTGGCGCCTAAAAAAAATTTCATAAGTCGCCAAATTGGCGACCATTTTAATTTGACTTGGCAATCGTCGAATTCTGTAAATTTTAACATTTTTAACAATTTAATGAAAAAGCAAAAAGAAATTTAAAAGAAGAGGGAATTATTTTTAGTAGTGGACATGTCATGTTTTCTTAATCACACCATGGGTCCCAATATTGATTACTATTAATTCTAAAAGTTGGCGCCTTAAAGAAATAATTGCCTGGCGACTAAAAATTCCCTTAGAGGCCTGGTTATAAAAAGTGACTTTTAGTAACATTAATGTTTATATTATGCTAAGATTATCTTTCTTTGTTACAATGTATAGATGTCGCTTCATTTTGATTTTAATCACTTGATCTTCATTGCATGTATATAAACCGTGATTTGTGTTGTATTAGTCAGTCTGTTGGCTCGCTCCTGAATAAGAAAATGCAAATAGATGCTAAGTAAGTACTGAATAAGGCAAATATTCCTGACTATAAGGAAGGGAAACAATTCTCAATCTGAATAAGGTTACAAATATATGCAGTGGTGACGCCATATTGTTTGTTGATGATAGACTTCCAATAAATTATATAAAACCACAATATCATCATTACACAAACATTTAGAATCTAGAATGCATTTTAGTTTTCATGGTGGTCAAAGATAAAAAAAGATTCCGTTTTATCTAGATGCAACGACAATCTGTTATCGATAAACCATGAATATTTTTAAAATCTGTTGCCTAAATTAGATTCATGGCAGAAGTATACACACTTGATTATAATGAATTTGGGATGACCTATCGAAAACAATCTAAATTTTGAACAAAATTGAATTAATGACATTAGTTGGCAAAAAGGGTATGAGATCTTGTAAGCTCTACTTCCAAACTTTTCTGAACTGTCAGGACCGTCACCAAATTTCTCGAGATTGGTGGAGGTGCAGTTGATGGTTTGGGGAGGGTAACCCCCCTCGGAACTTTTATCTTATAACATAGTGTGTTCACCATTCAATTCATTATTAAGCACCCCGTGTATATACGTACATGTATTAGCTAGGTCAGTTATGGCATGAATCATGTTTATATACAGAGGCTGTAATTTAAGTTCATTTTGACTTGTCAATTTTGTTCGGGAAAAAATCGACGGCGAGTAATCTCGACAATTAACTATAAAATTACTCAGATATTCTCTTATAATCCAATATGGTAATTGAAAGTAGAAATGTGTAAATGGTTTTTTTTCCAGAGATTTTTAAATTGTGAAAATATTGCTCATTTTTATACAATGAAATATATGGAGATAACGAACAGTATTAAAGCTCAAAAGTCCATTACAGGCCCGTAGGAAGCAATTTCAGTTTGGGGGGGCACAGCCATACATTTTCAGTTGAGGGGGCACTATCGACTACCAAAAATTCCTTGACAAGCAAAAAAAAGGGTATCAGACGTTTTAATTGAGGGGGCACATGCGTGTAGTAGCTATGTTTTCTATAGTAATCTATATATCGGCAAAATTATTGGGGGGCACGCCCCCCCCCCCGTGCCCCCCGGTTCCTACGGCCATGCATTAAACAATACAAAATAGGAGCAGAGCAAACACGGACCTCCAAAACATCAGAGGTGGGATCACGTGCCATGGAGGAGTGAGCAACCCCTGCCAACAGGTCAAACCCGCCGTGTGCTCCCTGCCATGATCGGGAAATAAAGGGAAAATCCGTCAACATTTGCTTTGAACAAATGCAACATTTGTAAAATGGCAATTGATGTGGCATATGGCGCTCTAGGTATCGTGTTTCTATGTTTCAACACGAAAATTTATAATTAACATGCATTATATATATAAATATATATTTTGAAAATTTTAATTTTTGAAATTCATTTTATCAAACAATGTTTCAGTTAACGGTTTCTCTTGGCGCTTATCTTGCTTTTGTAAGGGCTGCATGGGGCGGTTTTCCTTGCGATAAAGACATTGAATATTACAACATCTGTATGAAGTCAACCCAAATCTGCAACAACGCATGTGGACTCCACCTCACGGAATATGATATGTGTATGAAGAAAAAGTTTACGGATCTTGAGTCTAAAATTGAATCCCTTGAGCTTTCCTTAAATAAGACAAGCATCTGTAAGTTTTTTTGTTCTTTTTATCTTTTTGTTAATTATTGTTGTTCTTGACTTCTTTTTGCTTCCTTCTGAATGCATATCGGTAATTTTTGTAGAATCATTTTAATTCCTATGGGTCTGTTTATGTTCGAGGGCAACCAATATTTTACTGAATCGTGATGACGTTATTTCATGGGTAATTCTGCATCAATGAACCGAAACCTTGAAAAGATACCGTTTGTAGGAATGACGGTTGGTTGGTAAGGGTGACCCACGAAACCCACGAACAATAAGGTTTTACAGTATACTCTAGATAACTGTTTTGTCATTTTAGCTCATCACATCTCTTTCATGGCGGCTCCTGCAAGCAATATAAAACCCGTCGTAGGGACTCTTGTTTTTGGCAATGTTCTCATTAATAAGGGAGGAGCTTACAACGGAAAGACTGGTATGTTTACCGCCCCCGTAAGTGGGACATACTTCTTTATGGTCACTATTGGACTTCCAGCTCCTTCCACCTCCAATGGCAGAGACTATCTAAGAATACATATTATGAAAAACAGCAAAATGTCCTCCTACTTGTTTATCGGACCTGAAGGTTTATGGATCAAACGGTCAGAAAATACCTTACTAGAGCTTTCTAAAGGGGACAGAGTAAATCTGTTCATCAAAACCACTGGGAGTGGGTTTCCCTACATTGCTGGAAAAGATCACTATCCTGGTTCAACTTATCACTCACACTTCTCGGGATATCTTATAAATTGAAGCAGTTACTCTTTGAAAAAAAATGAATAAAGTCCTACTCTTTTCAAAGCGAATTATTTTTTATAACCATTAACCAAATTCTGTGTACAATTAAAGCAGACTGAAGATTTAAAAAATAATGCGGACGTATTAGTTTTGTTGTGACTGCAGCCTATGAAAAAAAATAAATACGTCATTTGAATATTTCTTTTATAAACAGGGCTCATTATTAACTAAAATACCCACTTGTCCATCGTACAAGTTGCTAATAAATGTTACTTGTTAGCTGCAGATCTGTAGGTCGCTGGTCTGGAAAAAAACTGGGATGGACACCAGCGAACTACAGATCTGCAGCTACATCTACAGTCGTTACTTGTCCGAATTTATTGTTTACTTGTCCCACTCTGAAAAATTATTAAAAAAAAATCTTTAGAACTTCATTTCAAGAATGAAGTAGTATGTTTAATTTAATTTGACCTTAAAAGTTTATTATAATTTTTTTTAAATGCTGATTTTAAATTCACTGGCTACCACTGTCTGTTACCTAGTACGATCGCGCTCGTCCTTGAACGATATCCGGTGATGATTGACCGAGACCTTAAGATTATGTTGTTTGCAATTTGAAAAAAAAATCACAGTATGAAATGAATTCTGTGGGGATTTTTTCCATCATATTTACAATATTTCATAATGGGACAATAAGTAACGTGTCCTATCGGACATACTTGTGCCTCTGGAGATTGACTTGTCCGATTGCAAAATGAGCTGGACACGGACAATTAATCGGACAAATGTTAATGTTGAGCCCTGACACACAAGGCAAGAGAAATAATATATTCGGTTTATTCCCGCCCCATGTTATTTTCGTCCTTTCACACTTGAAAACCATTTTGCTTAGTTACAATTTCGCCAGACACATTTGTGTCAAAGAGATAAAACTGCCTTCCTCTTTAGTTCATTCCCTTTTGAATTCGCCCTCTTGCGATGAAGACGAAAGGGGCGAAAGTAAAACTTTGGCATTTCTTTAGAACCAGACAAAATGTTCCCCATGGATGGAAAAAAGTACACTGCCAAACAAACATTATAATATTGATTTATAATAAAATTAAAAATATTAAAAATAAAAATAAAAATTATAAATAAAATTAAAATATTGTATTCTTTATTTAAAACTAACTGACAACAATTTCTCTATGTCTTTTTAAAAATCTCGATACTAGTATTCAGAACTTTGTTGTTTTTCTGTTAAGCATTGTTTGGAGATATATATATATATATATATATATATATATATATATATATATATATATATATATATATATATATATATATATATATATATATATATATTAGGGATGGTAATCGAATACAGAATTGTCAATCGGTTAACCGCAAGACGTTCCGACCGATTAACCGGTTAATCGTAACAAAATATACATTTCCGGACACGGTTTTTTAAAAATTAATTCTATTCATACCCCTCTCCCTCGCATTAAATTAATATATAAATTAAAAAAACGGCATTATTAATATTCTGTTTATGCTTTATCTGTATACTTTACGTATTTTGATTCAATTTCGAAAGGAAAACCATAAAACATCCAGGAGATACATGTAGGACATTGATAACTTTATGACGACCCCGGGGCTCAGACATTACACACGGTCATTCTGCATTGTCACCATAATTAGAAACAAAGTTTACACTACTACTTAATTTACAGTGTTTGCATAAAAAAATATAATTTGGCAGATAACTGCAAAAGATACACAATGTAATAGGTTCACAATACTCAACGGTGATTTAATTATTATCATTAAAGAAATACAGGACAGACTGGGTAAGGACAGTAAGGGCTCTTTGGACTGAGGTGTTGGGGTAATTGGTCAATTTGTGAAGTGTTTATCTATTATATGATAAATAGAATACTACGTTCTGAAATCTATATCATATGTCATATCAGCCCGCGCCTTCGGCCCTCTGGCAGATATTGGTGTCTCGCATGTGATATGGAAAAGGGTATGTATTATTCTCTTTGTACTGAACAGTAATATAAACTTTGATAATTAATAGTATTTGTTGAATCGTTGAGATTTGTTGTGTATATAGACTAAATGCTATTTTATACATGTAGCACAATTAGAACAAAAGATCTCTTACAATACTTTAATCTCTACATTCAATATCCTATGAAAATAACATTTTCTCCAGAAATGGTTGAATCCATCAGTTTCTCAGTTGGATCCCATTTATATTTGCCACATATAGCGTGTTTACATATATAAATGCAATTTATTTGAAACGTTTCGCAGTTTAACCAAATCAGGTTTAGCTAATATATACAGTTTGCTCCTTATTAACTCTTCCTTTTCAGATGAATTGACTAAATCGATCTGGTGCGCACTTTTCTTGGCTTGCAAGTGGATACTAACAGCAATTTGGACATCCGTATTTATGTTCCCCTTTGGCAAGCCCTTTTACTATTTATTCGTAAAATAATTTTTTTCTTTCAATAAGAGAGATATCTCTTTAGCTTAGAGAGATATCTCTTAAGCGTATAGAGATCTCTTTAACTAAAAGAGATATCTCTTTGACCAAGAGAGATATCTTTATAAGCTAGAGAGATATCTCTATAGACAAAAGAGATATCTCTTTTTGCAAGAGAGATATCTCTTTTACTAAGAGAGATATCTTTTTAAGATAGAAAGATATCTCTTAAAGCAAGAGAGATATCTCTTAAAGCAAGAGAGATATCTCTTTAACAACGTTAAAAGAGATATCTTTCTAAGTTAGAGAGATATCTCTTTAGATTTTCAAAAAGAAATATCTTTCTAAGTTAAAGAGATATCTCTTTTAATGAAAGAGATACCTCTTTTCAAGTTATCCTTAAAATGAAATAATTATTCCTCCCCTATAATACGAAAGCGAGGCTAGACACCATGGCAGGAAGTGTAATATATCATTGATTGATCATGTAGATCTCTGCCTCTGGAATAGATTCAGCATGTCCAATCCCAGAATGAAGTATGTAGAAAGAAATGCTAAATCCATTGTTTGAAGCAACAAAAGGATAATGACTACTTCGTTGATAAAGATGATAAAGTCTTTATATTCAGGAAAACGAAAGTAGCAATAATCTCATCTGCAATGGACCGAATTTTCTCAGCTTTTGAAATAATCATCTGATCCAAATTTGAAATCTAGACAACACTGAATTACTTGTCATATTTATTTAAGTTATAATGTAAAATATGTCAAATTTTAAGACTACTTTAACATCCTCGTCGAAATTAAGTTGGAGAAATCGGGTGGGGGTCTATTCCGTTGAGCAGTGAACTTTGCTGAATATTTTTATTGGGCGTAATTAATGTTGTTTTGTGGAAAGAAGTGGGGATATTTGCTCCCACCCACCCACCCACCAGCAATTCTTCAAGTAAGCCCCATCCCAGCCGGAATTTCAACGTTGAATCAACGTTGAATTTGGGTTGCATATGAAAGTTGAGGCTACGTTGAGACATCAACGTTGTTTCAACTTCAATTTTCAACGTTGAATAGACGTTGAAAATGAGTTGAACTTTGGTTGATTTATAGTTGAATTTTGGTTGCAAATGAAAGTTGAGCCAACGTTGAAACTTCAACGTTGTTTCAACGTCAAATATCAACATTGAAAAAAGGTTGAACATTGGTTGAAATTAGGTTGACTTTTAATTGTACAAATATTGATATTTCGTTGAAATCACATTGAATTCATATTGAGTTTTGCTTTATAAACAAATACATTTCAAATTCTAATAAAAGTTTTTATTCAAGTAAATTGAAGTTGCGAATTATGTAAGTTGTAATTCCGTATCAAGATTCTTAGTGAACCTATTTTAAAACAATTATTTTAAGACAAACATAAATCCAGGAACCAATCAACGAATCTCAAAAATCACTATTTAACAAAATTTATCTTCCTAGTGAAAAGGGGGTCACAGTAATCATTATATCCAGGTTCATCATATCACACATCTGTCCTTACGGCCAACTGCAATTAAATTGTACTTTATACTAATTTCATGTGCAAATGAATATCAACAAAACACATAAATACACTAACCAAGGATGTGCATTTCACACAGATTACACAAATATACTTACAAAACAAGAATAAAAAAAAATGATATATGGGTACCAGAAAATCTAAATTTCTTTTAAATCCATGAAACGGAAATTATTCTTACTGAGCAGAAGTTGATAATCCAGCCTTAATCCTTGTGCGTGGCTTATAAAATACATAATATATGAACAGCAGGAAGACGCACTTCTTGTCCATCAGTTGAATTCAAATTTTGACTTAGATAATCTGCAAACAACTACTCTGTAATGCTGCCCAGCAAAAAAATTGCATAGCAAGGTTATCATATGCATGACACTAAAACTGACCAGCTAAGCTAACACCACTCGATCCTTATCTGAAGCCTTGAAAATAAATTTGGGGAGTGGATCTTAAGTAATGTAAACTGACCGGGGTTAATTGTTAGTGTGAAAATTGTTAAACCCCAATTGTAACGTGTTTATTTAAATGTTTTTATTTTTTGTGATGGGAAAGATTATAGTAATATATCTAATACAGTTTACCTTTTTCTTTCATAAATGCAACAAAAGAACAATCTAATTACAATCAAACTTCTTAGATTCGCTCCGTACACATTCTGCGAAGAGTATACGGCGCGGATCTAAGAAGTCTAATTTTAATTAGATTACATTGATTCGGAATAAATTATTATTTTTATTAATTCTATAGTAACATGGAATTATAGTGAAGTGTTTAATAGATAAGGATGTCATTATTTATAAAAAGCTTATATACAGCATAAAAAGGTTTCTTTTTTTACATTTATGCAAAAATACTGCATTCACAATTAATTTACAAATTAACTTTTTTGAAACATGCAATTACACTGAAGTACGTACGTGTTAAATGTAGATGTCCTACTTCATATAAACTCATATTAAACGTTTTATTTCAGTACTGTAA